CGTGGTCTCTCCTGATTTTGTATTTAAATTTTATACAACAACTTTCACTAGACTTGTTTGTTGTCGATTGCTTTTTGCAACTGTATACTTATTTAGCATGATGATCTAAATCAATTGATATAAGTACTATGATCCAGTGTTCGATATAATAGAAGTTTTGGAGACGTTTATTTCGCTATGGTGACTCAACGCTAGTTCTATAGACCTAGCGTTATAGAAGTTTTGGGAAAAGACCGTCGGTTTGTGTCGTGTCGGTTGACTTTGCAAACGTTCTTAATCTTCTTAATGTCAAACGTAGGCCATAACTGCTTCTGGTTATTACTATTGGTTAAGGTGCTTTATATAGAAATTATTGCTCATTTGTCTGTGGACCGGTAACAGAGGCATCGGTTGCATAACGCGCAGCCGCCGGTGGTGCGCACGCGCAGCCAGTTGTAGCCGGCACGCTGTTGAGACCTCGCCGGTGTTAAGCATACCCCTAAAAATGATCGAAGAAATTGTTCTGTGCATGCATTTTATATTAACTCTCATTATACTTGTGATTTATTTAAAAGACTAAAGTATAATGCAAAAATAAATGAGCTCCGTAATGTGATAGTGCCTTCAAAACTTAAGTGCTTCAAAGTGTTATTCCGGAAATGTGAAAAGGGAATTGGAGTAGCAGTTGTGTTAAGTGCAGGGTCATTAGGAAAGTTTACACAAATGATAGACTACTACAGCATTCCAATGTGGTGATGGTGGCCTTTTATGTGGGACACTCAAAGTCAGCTGGTATTTACATATGGCGATCCGTTAAGACAAAAGTAACCCGGTTTTAAACTGAAAAGAATTTCAGTAAATAAGGTTCAATTTTCTTCAAAATGACTTTTAAAGTATGATGTAGAATAAACATGTTTAATTAACATTTAATTGTTACACTATACGTTCCGAGAATGAAGCAAAATTAAGACTAATTTGTTTAAGATTTTAACCTAGAAAGAACAAGGTAATTTTTTTATCAAAATAAAGTCTTAAGTATATATTTACTTATAATCGTAGATAAATCAGCAGTTATGTGATAAGACGAATATCCAAATTACCTTATTCCTTTAATTTTGTAAGGTTATTGAACAAATTTATTGTAATACCACAGAACAAAAATATATAGAAAGAAACATTTAAAAATACAAATAAGATTTTATTTGTAATTTTACTTAAATGTTTTTTAAAAATGTTGTAACACAATTTAAAATACTATCGTGTGTGCGGCTGTGGTTTATGCTAATGCATAAACCTTATATTTATCCTAATGGATTCACTCAGCTAATCTATCGGCTCAAAAAAAACACTAGAAGTCGCTATAGATACAGTATTTTGTAATTCCATTACAGCAAGAATCCATCGGCTGTTATCAAGGCAAAACGTATTAATTGGCATTACGATATAAATAGCTTATTTTGCAAATGACAATTATGATCGCTGGATATAATTCTTTAATATCTAATTTACAAAACAAGTTAAATGTATCTGATTACGCTCTTAACCTAAAAATTACAAAAAACCTAAAAATGATTGGTGCAACTTTTTCTCATAATGCTGTTTTTGATATTACATTGTATCCGTTTGACAGGGTGTAATGCCACAGCCGAGATTAAAGACTTTAGTTTTCAGTGGACTCTAAAACCGAGTGTGTCGCGTATCAAGTATGACGAAAAGGGCTGCTCGTATATATATTTATGTAATGCAGTTAGTTTATTTCGAAGAAAAATTGGCATCTTATAAAAGCAAACGGTTAAAGCCTGCCAGGCTTGCCGTTATAAACCTACGTGAAATATTAAGCAATATCGATCGAAGGACGTTTACATTACGTAAAAGTCTCGGAAACAATATGTCGGCATATCCACTTGCGTGCTCATAAATGCTAAATTTCAACTTAATTAGAGTTAGTTCGATATATTTTGAAATGCACTAGTTTTTTTTTTGGAATTCAAATGACCTTGGCAACTGTGAATTGAGTAAGTAGTTTTATCCTTATACTGCCTACGTTGTCATAACTAAACGCATTTACGTTTTGATTATTTTCGAGATGTTGGCACCTAAACTTTTTTTACAGTTACACTGATTTAGATTACCGACAAAACTGAAACTAAATAAGATTAAAAAAAAACCTTTTAAGGGGTTGTGGATTTCGTTTCTCGTTTCTGATTCCAATTTAATTAATAAATCAATTTCGCTAAAAACTCGACGAAGTAACGTTAGTTATGACAAGGACGGAAACTGATACAAAGTAATGCGAATATTACAAAAATCTGACTAAGACGCTAGAGTAGTTATAGTTCACGTGTAACTCGTTGAACCACGACTTAAACGTTTCACCATTGTAAATTGAACCGTGTCTAGTTAACACAGTGTTTATTTGTGCAACATCGAAAAGTTTTATATTTTAGTAGCCACTTGTGTAAACAGCGAGGAAAACAACAAAAAAGGTCCTCGAACTAGTATAGTAGAATTTAATCAAATGTATACTAATAAAAGTTATACTAGGCTATTACGTAGAGATATAATAAACATAATAACAATAAATTGTACTAAACGTAGCCATAGTGAAGTTGCAGCATGCAACAGAAATGCTCAACATTTCGATAGAAGCCTGTGTAGATAGCGTGAAGCATTATGTTGCTGCCATTTGTTGAATAAAACAATAAAAACTTGTAATTATCTTGAATGGAAATTGCTTTGCAGCATTTATACGATATTGCAATGTAACGATGCAGTAAATTGACCAGAGGTAATTAATTCGTCAATCTTCATTTGTCAATCTTAGTGATAATATCATTGACTTATGAAAAACGTTAAAAAATGTTTGAATTATGTATATATTTTTTCCATCCTTTAAGTACGAATCTTAAAGGACGGAAAAAAATAAAGTTTATGAACAGTGGTTCATAATGAACATTTTTAGTGGCCAGTGGGCCACGTATACCTAAACGTTTAATTTGATATAAGAATGACTTTAATCGTCTTAAGTATAATGTGGCTAGTGGTTTATACATGAATATTTTTCTTTGTCTTTCTTTTCTTTAGCCTTTTCTACTTAATACGTCCATAAGAATATGAATGTAAATTCTACGTGCCAATTCTAAACAAATTTAGACTTGTTACAAATGTGCATTGTTACTACATAATTCCTCTCCTGTCGTAACTAGGATTACGTTATTTAAAGCAACGTATTTTTGGCTTAGTACGTCACATCTTGAGCTATAGTTCGCGTCAATGACTGACACATATAAATAAAAATCTAGAAAATACGATTAGGAGTACGTTCGTTTTGAAAGCTGAGTGAGATCGTACGCCTCACTCAGTTTCGGCACTTAGCCAGGCGACGGGGGCGGTATGTTTCACATATTGCGCTAGTTCGATTGTAATACTAATATCGGTTAATAACTCAAACAACCGGTCTTATAACTGACATTATTCAAATAACATACATATTTGAGTTTCAATTATCACTGAACGGAAAACATCGTGAGTTAATGTTTATTTTGAAGACGATTTTGTTAGTTTTTTTTTGTAATATTAAGTGACGGGACGAACAAGTCGTATGCCTGGTGGTAAGCGCCACGCCTGTGCCTAACAGTTGCAGTGCCACTCAGATTTTTAAATCACAAAGCTCTGATGAGAGTTGCCGCTGCGCCCGACACCCTTCACCAGCACCCTTACGCAGTAATGGTCACATTATTACTTGGCGGCAGAAACAGGTAAAGGGCAGTACTTCCTTGAACGAACTCTTACACAAGGAGCTCTACCGCTACTAAAATACTACATTTATAAAATATAGATATTTGTTTAAAAAATGTTATAAAATTTATAATCACTTTTAGTTAGGTAAATGATGATAATTGTCGTTTGCCCGAGTAATTTTACTGTTGCCACTAAATTCTTTCCAGATACCGTAGGTTTGCTATTGCTCCTTTAGTGCCACCATTCCGTAAGACCGTTCTGGGCTTTAATTCCTGTATCCCAAGGCTCTGCAGACTATATAATAAGCACCGTCACGTTTGCGATATATTTTGGCAGTCGCTGCACAAATTTCGCATTAGTATTATGTTAAACCTTAATTAATTTTTGGTTTTTTTTTCCGCCATCTACTTTGATGCTGTCAGAGACCCTTGTTCACTTGTATTTATTGGTTTTGTTTGTATTACTTTTTCTTTCTTTTTTTTAGTTTAAGTTGATGTGTTTAAATTCTATATAATTTACATTTTACGTTGTTTTTGCAAGCTGTGTTCACTCATAAGTAGTTGTGCAACTTAGATAAGAATTTCACCAAATTGTATTTATAGTATGTTACATTGTAATAACTGTAAGTGAACCAATAAACTAATAAAAAATAACACATTCTTGAGATTATGGCGCGTTGTTAATATTGTGCTGTGATATTATTCGAAAAGTTTAAAATTCGTCCTTCGGGCTAGCCTTAGCTAATTAGCCGTACTGCCATATCTTAGATTAAAATTTTTCTTCAATCAATTAATTGTCTGATATTTTTGCGCGGGAAGTCGTTATCTTAAGAGAATTATTATATTATTGCACACAAAATCAAATCAAGAGAAAAATTTTTTAGTAATACCGTTACTTTTTTTTTGTATATTCAAGTTGAGTTTCATTGTACTCAACTTTTTATTTTAAAAAAATACGTGAAACCACTTCGTCTTGAGCATGTCCAGAGACAACACAATAATGGAACAAATATTTGAAAATTTTGCAACATCTATTTACTCAAGCAGGCAATACCGGATGTAATCCGATTGAGATTACCAACAAAGTAGGAAACCATGGAAAGTGAACCGAAAGCTTACGCTTGATTCGTTTCTACATTAACGGCGCTAGTCACATTTTACCGCTAGACTCGATAACACAATTCTCTTATCAAAAATATTCCGCCGACGCACATTCTTGCAATGAAATAAACTGACTTTCTAAAACTGGTTTTACAAATAATGTCTGTGAGGTAGTGCCCCGATTTTTAAACTCTTAAGATAAAAAAATGTAAATCCTGTTGTTGTTGTCTATGTTCCTAACGACACATTTCCGGGGAAAAAAAACCGCTAAGAGGAGTTTAGAAAGAAAACACACACCATTTGCCTTAGTAGTGCGTGTGTGCGTATAAGTATAGGTTGCTCGCCTAAACCCGGTTCCGCCACCATAATATCGCAATCACAAAACGACTCTAGGTGGAATACCTACATGATTACAGCAATGTTTTTCTGATAGTAAACATACAAGTGTGTACTTCTGTTATGCTGCTCTAATAAATTTCAAAAAATGTGAAAGTTTGTTTACAAAACTTACTTCCATGAATTGTTTGTGAGAAGATAAAATGTTTAAAACTCTATTATGCTCTATATGAACTTTAATAAAGCCGAAGTAAACCATGTCGTATATATTCAAAATCAAAGTGCTCGTGTAACATATAAAAGTGAAAATGAATCGATATGACCTTCCTATTCGACTGAGTGTTCGTATCACTAAAAATATCGATGTGGGAGGTGGTGCTAGTGCTGCGGAGCGACGCTGCAGATGTCTTCCGTGTCCTGGAAGCCTGGTGGCAGGCGATACTGTTGCTTGGCAAGCTCGTGTTATGCTGTTTTCAGCTGATTCGCCAAACTATAGGTATTGCACTGGATTTTACTTTAATCACCATAATGAGGTTTAAATTTCACAAGGAGCGCTACTGCTACTAAACGTTGCTACTTGTTATGCAATTATTCATTATCGTAAACAGAACGTTTACCAACATTTATATCTTAAGTTTCGTCGTATCGATCCTTAATTTAGCCTTCGAATTTTCTAGTGATATTCGAAAATATCGCAAACTTACCTATACTGAAACAATGTAACAGATATTTCACTACAATAATATCGTTAATTACTATTTAGTTATTTGAGAAATATTTTTGTTAAAACCATTATTTTCGTAACGTATCTGTTATAAGATTACGATATATGTATATATCATATCATATGTGTTATACTTTTTCGGGTCTAATTACATATCTATGTGTAAGTAAATATTGAAAGGATTTAAGTTGCAAATATAAAGAAGTACAATCAATGTTGAACAAAAGAACGAGGCTTGTGTGCAAAAGCAGATCATCTTACAAATTAAGAACGTTCTAAAATGTTCGTTGTTTTTCGTCTTGCAATTAAATCGTAATCAACGTGATACAAAGATAACGGATGATAATGTTATCGGGCATTTATTGTAGCTTGCTTAATAAACGTTTGTAATTAAATATTCAAAACGTGGAACGTTATTATTGTTACTTCATAAATAAACGACCTATGGGCTCACCTTTCGTGACTTACCTTGGTTACATAAGAGTGCCATACACCGAAATCTTTACACCATTCTCATACTACGATGGAACAAATTTTAATGTAAGATAACTGTAAATGTTTACTATTAGGGACGATAAGCATTGTTTTCACAATGCAAACCTTGAAATACTTTTGTTTTTCTACACATTTACCATTGATACAATTATAGATTAGACATTCGTAGGTACGCGAAAAATTATAAAAAGTTCTGATTAATTACGTTACTAAAGTATTGTGTTATTTACAAAAACAACGATATTATTTTTAAAACACAGCAAAATGTGCTCTGTGGAATTTACAGTTACGTAATTTTAACTAAAATATGAAACAGCGTGTAAAGAAGATTAAAAAACCTGCATTTTACATGAGACTTGTCCACATTGAGTCAGAGATACGGCATATAAACCTTGGCACAAACTTACTATTTCACACAATGTCTAAGACCCTAGTATCAATTATAGCACACAAAACAGTTACTTGTACATTTGACTTAACATTGTCATTTATTTTCCTTTCAGAGGTGAAGTTATCGACGGAGGCCATGATGGCGCCTAGCGTGTTTCAGAGGACCAAGTCGCCACGCTCCTCGCCGTCTAACCTACCCAACAAATTACAGGTTTGTCCATAATACTATCTGTTATCTTATCAATGCACACTTAGCCTCAAAACAGTCTGAATTCGCAAAAATATGTAAACATTTGGTAAAACTCTATCTAAACAAAAATAATGTAGGTCGCACTTTTGATTAAAATCCATTCAGCGATCCTAAAAAATGTTTGCGGATACCAAGTATACTGGTGAACGCTACATATCACTGGAATCATACATAGGAATTCAAATCACCGGCACTCAGTTCTCTGATTTAAATCCCTTAATTTCATATTATGATATGCGAGGAAAGATAGAGGTGATGGCATTCGTTATCGATGGGAGAGATTAGTTACACAAAACGCTTGTGAAGTACTCAATGGCGTAATATTATAGAACAAAGTCCAATAACATTACAGGACTCCTTCTCACAGAATGGTCTAATCCCATTTCATATTTATATTCCAAAGCGCTATTGGATTATTTTGATAACATTCTATTTATTTATTTATTAAACTTTATTGACCACAACACATAATGGTACAAAGGCAGACTTAATGCTAAAAGCATTCTCTACCAGTCAACGGCAAATTAAACATAATATTATATAATTATTAAAAAAATATTAATATATTAATTACATAAATGCAACAAATATATGATTATAACAAACAAACCTAATATATACATATTTATATGCCTGGTCAAAAATACGTAGGTTAATCTACCTACGTATTTTTGACCAGTCATAAGTCACATTTTATCTTAGAGGATGGAAAAAAATAGTCTAAGCATTTTATACTCATAGGTAACATAACTTATAAATATGACATGTGTCAAAGTCAAATAATCTTTGTCATAGGTGAGCAAATTACACTTGAAATCGTCATATTGAATAAACTCTACTGCTCATTTGTAAGGCAGATTCTCCTGAGAAGAATGTGCAAGAAACTTTAGGGGTTGTTCTTCGTAAACAAACATTTATCATTTACAATAAGTGTTTAAAACATCATAGATCAAGACTACCTTCACGAACTAAACGGGTCACTACTACGGATTTTGTCATCCAAGTACACAGAAGCTATATAATATATCTTTCTCTCTACAGAACCTTTAGTATAAAGATTTGGTTTCACTATAGTTTTAAACCTCGTTAATGGCTAATTTTGAATAACAACAGGAATTTTATTATAGAAACGAATACTCGTACATTGCACCTTAAATGAATTTGTAACTTACGTAGTAGCAGCAGAGCTCCTTGTGAAAGAGTTCGTCCAGGGAAGTACTGCCACCTTACCTATTTCTGCCGCCAAGCAGTAACGTTAGCATTATTGCTTCCGGTTTTTAAGGGTAAGCACATGGGATTTATGAACTTATGTGTCAGAGTGACGGGCGCAGTGGCAGTGTTCCTCAGGTCTTTGCGATTTGCAGCTCTGAGTGGCACTGCAACTGTTATGGACAGGCTTGTAGCTTACCATCAGGCGCACGGCTTATTCGTCCGGTCACTTGATATAAAAAAAAAATTAATACCTAAATAAGCTTGTAAAAGAAAGAACACCAGGAACTGTGTTCTGCAACTTACATTAACTCACGCTGGCGTGCTGTTTTTACTCTGACCACCCGTTGCACACGTCGTTCTATTTGGAGTGAGTTGAATTTGGTGATTGAACAGTCTTTTAAATATGACCTAATTCGCGCACGACTTGTTCGTTCCGTATATAAAAAAACAATATTTCAAACATAGATCGAGATCTGCAAGAGCTAAACGGGTCACTGCTACAAATTTTGTCATCCAAGTACGCAGAAGATATATAATGAGTGTGAGCGCTTAAAATAAAAAATAACAACCCTCTCTCTCTCTCTCTCTCTCTCTCTCTCTCTCTCTCTCTCTCTCTCGCTCTCTCTCTACAGAACCTTTACATAAAATTTTTGTTTCACCAGTTTTAAACCTCGTAACTAGCAACTTTTGAATACCAACCGGAACTTACCTACACGTTATACTGAGCATCCATTAAACTGTTGATTTTTATCATGTCGACTTTTATCGACAAAATCTGTCTACTGAATATTTTACGAAGGTAGTCACGACAAGTGTTAATCGAAAATCGATTCGGTCAATCAATATTGACACAATTTGGAATTTGAAGCTAGGTTTATTTTCGATATCGAAACTAATATCAATTCACATATTTTTTGTCGAAATACCGCACTTATCAAGACTGACACTGTGTTTGTTTTTCGTGGGTGTCGACAGTTTTTAACGATATAACAAGTACTCGAAACTTTCATAAAACAATTTTGTATAACATCTTCACGATTGTCTTAAGTCAAGAATGCTGTTGCTGTGTATGCATTCGTGTATAGCATATCTTACTTTTCAATACACTCGCTGGTGATTCTACTCCTCGATGAAACAGACAGTCGATTCCCATAGCATTAACGTTTGTATTTTCGCTCTATTAGTGTATATAATAATCTCTACCTATATCCATTTTCCAGAATGGCACTGAAGCAGCGTCACAGCCGGAGCCCACAGCAGATTCTAGTCCTGGCAACTCGATCTCAGACGCTGAGAACTTCGAGTGCTACGGAGAAGCAGACGCCGATGTACCCGCCAGTAACCCGTTAGTATCGTGAAGTAACTCATTTAGATATTTTAATATGGAAGATCTTAGTAGTGCAGCAGTCTATCTACTTTTCGTGTCCATTTGGTTTCAATCACTTTTCCACGTTTCGTGGTTACCTCCGCTGAACATCTTCTTGCGCACTGTTCAACGCCTTTATTTCTATATATGTGGCCGAATATAATAGTGCAAGCCCTACCTACTAAGTACGAACAATACAGTAACTGGTGAACTTATTTCGTCTGTAAAAACCAAAAACCACTAAGCTAGCTGTAGTAACTTATTTGCATATCAAACACAATCACACTGCTTTTACGCGACGCAATCTCGTAACAACTTGTTACGAGATTGCGTCTAGGTTTATACACCTATATAAAGCGTTTAAAATATAATAATACACACACATACCTATTTTAAATATATAATAATAATAATACACACACTCAACATAGCCCCGCACTAGGGAAACCCTGTATCGCGGGTGCCATGCACACACACACATAGACAACAACAAATTACACCCAAACTCATGAGAGAAATAAATGTAGGCCATAGAAATATTTCTCCCGGCCCGGGAATCGATCCTGGGACCTCTGCGTGGCAGTCCGGCATGGTAATCGTTCGGCCACGGAGGCAGTCATATTATTATGACTCGTCTAAATGCAGAATGCGGACCACAGGTTTATATTTAAATTCAAAGCGTTTTTACTATCCATTTCAAAGTAAGAAATAAAATACATTTTATGGACTATAGCAAAAGCCAATGTACTCGTAAAATGAGTTTCAAAGGTAATATATGTTGCTGCTGTGTGTGCATATGTAGTTTCATGGGCCTCATTACATTCAGTAAGCCTTGTAATAGCCTATAAAATTTACAAGGAGGAAAATATAAACCAGAAATATGTTCCTCTAAGAAATTTTAATATAAGCATAAAGAAATAATTATACCTCATAATATACGATCAATTATTTTTAATTACGCATCATAGAGCAGCTATTTAATTGACGAAACTTTATTTTTAATAACTTATGGCTATAACAACTAATATAATATGAACATGAAAATTACACATATACATACACTATCATCATTCTATTTTTGTGTTTAATATTTTACTTATTCGTTAATTAACCATTATTAATAGAGATATTAACTCTGTTAAAAATATAGGTGCTTTAATTTTTTTTTATAAGTTAATTTTTTAAAAGTTACTTTAGACTAAAATGTTACTCAAAAGAGTTAGTAATGCTAAACTAAAGTGCAAAAGTCTTTAACCTAAATGGTAACGAGCACAGTAAGTGTATGGTATAAAGAAGGTAGCTAACGTACCAAGGTGTAATTAGGTATGCACTTAATCTAAGCTTTTTTTAGTTTCTTTATGTACATACTTAAGAAGTATAGCAAATAAAGTGTAGTTACAGTACTCCGAGTGAAATTTTAGACCTCTTTGCTGCAAAATATGAAAGACAATACAGGGTAACTTTCGGGTTAGTTTTCTCTACCTAATTTCGGTAGCAATTTTTATTCAAGTATTTGAGTAAATCATCGTGAAATATTAAATAAAATTTCAGGTCGCTACACTCGAATATGAAATAAAACGCCATAATATAATACTCTACAATATTATACATTAATAATAATATATAATATAATATTCTACATATTCTACAATGATACTATTCTACAATATTTAAATAACAGAAATTGCCACCGAAATTAGGTAGAGAAAACTAACCTGAAAATTACCCAAAACAATAATTTCTTCACATTAAATTTATAAACTGTAAAGGGAATAAATGAAGTGTAAAAGAAACCAATTTCATCGCTCAATTTCCGCATAATTATGGCACCATTTTCAACTTCTTCCTAGACGTAAAACATTTTGACAATAAATCGGCATGTAATCGGTTGTACAATTTCTGCTCTGAAGTTGCATAAATAGGTACCTACTTAGTGAAACAACGCTGTACAAAAAATATACGACAGCGCACTTACCACAAAAAGTAGCTGATCTAGTTTTTCTCAAGTTAATGGATAGAAAAACAAAACAAATTGAGAAAAAAGAAATAGTTAAGTTACTAGTTAGTTTACTTTAGTTAGTAAATTCATAAAAATAATATGAACGACATGAAACAAGTTATCTTTGTCTGTAATTGCATAACTCTCCTATTTAAGCATAAACAAGGTAACGAATAATTTCATTCATAGAATCTTCAAGTTAAAAAAATACTTATCGAATCATTGACTTACAAATAAAAAATCAATGTATCGAATCAAGTTTTTATGTGAACCTTAGAATGTCCATTCCATTCTTAATATGTTGTATTAAAAAGCAACGTCATTCTCAACTAAGTTACACAATTATATCTTCACACTGGGACAGCCCCATCTCTTTGTAGATTAGTTTTGATTATAGTGACTCTCCCCACCGACCATTTGGGTATACGAGAAGCTATGCACTATGACCTGTGCGAGCGAACCCGCACAGGCACCATCTAAGCCAGATCCTAATCCCGGATCAGTACGTTTGCACGGACTTCATCCTTTTCTCTGTAAGACTAGCCTTAGGTGAGCCCCCTCGGGTTCACGTACAGCACCTTCCCTATTTTCCTGATAGGTATCGGAGTCGTAGGCACGCTCACTTCCCGTCGCGTTACGCACGACTGACACTTGCCGCCGCTGAGCCGCCGACTCTGAGTCAACTATTAAATCTCCTCATTGGTGGCGGTGCTGTAAGGCACGCTTACTTCCCGACGCCGAACGAACGGCGTCTCTCCACTTCCCAAATTCCTACGTTGCCGGAGGGACCAGAAAATGTCTAGCTCATCCTCTGCTAGCTCTCCGGGCTAGAGCCGGAGATGCCAAGTAGCTGTGTCCTGCGACAATATCCGGACATAGCTACCGACTTAAAGGGCAACTCCGTGCCCCGCGCGACTTCTCGCCTCAGTTCAACTAGACCACTACTAAGACGCGCTAGCTGCGCGCGGGACGATCGTCCCAGCCACACACCACCAGGGCAGTCGAACGTGTCCATCCCTACAGCTAACCACAAACCCCAACGAGTCCATACCCAAGTCCGGGTCCGCCAGAGACACCCGCCCGTATGACTGGCGGATGGCTTTCCGTCGAGCGCCTAGACTCTCCGGAAAACCCTATCTCTCGGGTTATTAGATAGGAACATACTTCACACCGGGACAACTGCTCCAACTGTACCAAGCGCAAGTCCGGTCGTGTATGGACTACTGTTGCCACTTATGTGATAGCTCTGCGAAATACCAACTGGCCACCTTGGATACAATCGACAAGCGTGGCAAGAGGCTTATAGGGGACTCGGATTTAGTAGAGACGAAGCTGCATAGCCTTGAACAACGTCGTAAAGTTGCCTGCTCATCGGTATTCCACAGGATATACGGAGATTATGCGATGGGATCATAATCTCGTCCCGTCATCGGGGACGAAACGTAGGCTGGGGTTCATATGTTGCGTTGTAAGTTGCCTATGTTGTGAATATTCCAAAGATGCGCACCAAGCGTTTTGTTTCCACATTTATGTGGTGAACGGCAAAGGAATGCAATTCCCTGCCTGCGGACTTGTTCCCCGAACGCTATAACTTGGCCCTTTCCAGGTGAGAGTGGCTAGGAATTATTTAGGTGTGCATGCTACATCGTCGACCTCATTGTCACTTTCCATCAGGTGAGATTAAGGTCACATGCTCACTTATTTTTTATAAAAATAAAAGTAACATTAAGCTATTGTATGTAATGTGTAAGTTCCCTTAAAACAACCACATTTAACCTACACTATTTGAGGTATACATATTCTGACCTCTTAATCAAAACTAACGTAATCGACATTTTTAGCAAAATTGAGTTATTAACGTATCTGGAACCAGCGAAACGAGATCTACAACCTCCAATCGATTGTTTTATGTCTTATTCAGTTTCTGTTTTATAGTTAAGCAAAATCAACGTAATTGACATTTAAAAAAAAAATTTAGGTGCCAATATCTCGAAAGTTACCAAATGCGTTAGTTATGACAAGGAGGCTAGTATTGTCCCACACCTGACTAGCTTTTCATGTATAAAAAAAATGAATGCTCCCAGGCAATTTCGACTAAGGCAACCACATCGAGGACATCGGTGTAGGCAGCGTTCGGACTCGCTTGTGGCTTATGTAGCCAACGTTCTGGGCGAAGGTCCTTGCGCACTACGAGCATGCGAGCACACTATTTTCAGGATTATAACTGATTACCGCAGATGGTCGGGTTTTTAGTTCGTTACGTTTAAAATCAAGTTCCGCACGCCGTTCATTATCAATGTCACAGACTTAGGTGTTGACCAGTACCCTCCACTGCGGCCGTTTGGCAGCCTGCTGTTCCCAATGCGAAGGCTCTATATTATATAACATATATAAAAGAGATAGTGATACGACAATTATAGTGACATATAAAATCTAAATAGGCTTATAGTCTTATTAAGTAACGATAAAACTATCAGACACGGCAATTAGTGAGAGAAAATCGATGTTTTCAAAAATATGCCTTTACTTTAGATTTTCATTATATATGATTATATAATGAAACTCTAAAGGTTATTAGCAAATCAAGACAAAAATTACGGGTGTACAGTCAATACCCTCAAGATACCTCGCCCCCTTACCGTCTTTTTAGCTTTGAGTAGATCAGTGTGCAGAAAAGCGTTAAACAAACATAACCTTTAGTCTGTAAGCCGTAAAATTAATTTTGGCATGACTTCCTTATAGTATCATTAGTGAATAACGTTTTAAGAACTGTTTAAGCTAATTTCAACTTGTTTAACGAATTCTTTTAACATTTTTCTGTTGAATGCGTAAGAATGCTCTCAGAACCAAAAAGACGGCTAGGGCGTCCGGTATCTTAAGGCATCGACTGTACCTACATAGTAGAAGTGTAAGGGACCCAAATAGACTGGTCTACTATAATATATATATAAAGTTTTTCTAGATGAATGTTGATGTAAAATTAATACTTGATATATTGTGTATAATATTTAATAGATATAACATTATTTTATTGGTATTCATTGACCTAATTAGTCTTCTAATCATGTCCAATGATAGTGTTATATTTCAATTAATTTTAAGTAAAATTTTGCATGCCTAATCAGGTAAAATATATCTTCTACTAATACTATGTTCCATCTCACTTTCATCATGTTTTAAGAAATAAAATTTGATTTCAATTCATTTCAAGAACATCTGTATTTCATGAATACGCAAATTACAATTAAAACCGTCTCATCATTGGTTAAACATTTCCTACTCACTCATGAGGCAGATTCCCTCGAGTAAAATAAGCAAGAAACTCTGAGGATTACTCTTTAGTAATTAGACATTTGTACCCTTTTATCATTTACAATATTTGTTTCAAGGATTTTTTTCTAAGTGTTCGATCTTTGTATTAATAATTATAACAAACTAGTGGAGTAATTTCACAAAAAAATTATTGAATATCAATTCAATACAAATTTAATTACAATTAATAGCGACGTCTCTAGCCAGGGCTGGTAGCTGTAAAGTTACCTAACTGGGTTTCATAGATTTCTCATAGATAGCGCTACGGCTAAAAAGTCGTTAAAAACCAAATAGCGTCTAGCACGGTTTGCTAGAAGACGTCGGTTCGGAAGGATTTTTTTCTAAATGTATTATGTATTGGTACATATGTATCTTTGTATTAATAATTATAACAAACTATTGGAGTAATTTCACCAAAAATAATTGAATATCAATTTAATACAAATTTAATTAATTATAAGAAATTTGATAGTGCAATAGACAGGTAGGTAATATGTAATGCTTTTCAAATACTTGTGTTTCTAAAAACACGTACCGTTTTAATCTCAGTAGATAATAAACTTTGTCTCTTTATAAAATCAACGTTGATGTTGGAATAACGTAGATGTATGTACTTAATGGATATTAATTTTTTCCTGATAAAGTGTACCTAATAAGCTAGTTTTTGTATATCTAAATAAATGTAATAATAATCAGTGTTTCGGTAGAGTAGTTATTTATAACAATTTCTATTAACAGATTGGAAAATCGCTCGAGGAGTCCGGCCAATCATCTCAACAGACATTCCTGGACGCGAACCAGTTTGAGACGAACTCCACCCAGGTGAGTTCAATCGTTCTTTGGTAAATGTAAAACTGCTGTATAATAGCTGCGTAATTGTATATCCACCTTCATCTTACTTATAGAGAAATGTTAGGGTGGGCCGTATGATTACACCCTACCAAAGCTCATGGACTGCAGGGAATATGCCTACGAGTATTATAGAATTTTTAAATTTAAAAATATTTTTAAGTATCAAGTGCGCGTATTTAGGCAGCAAATTATTGAATCAAATCGGTCACCTCAAAACAATACATTTATGCCACATAAAAATATCGGTCTTCAAGGTATTTTCATATATTAAACTCTGAAAATAACCTTTGTGGCTTCATCATTTCTGTGTAATTACCACTTGCACTTAGACGATCTCAGCAAAATTTTCCTTTATGTCCCTTTTTTATGAGGGTGGATACATGCAATTTTAAGCAGATTGTAACAACGCATTTAAAATTATTCCATGACTAAAATTTCTTTTGACATTTCAAATGGGACTAATTTTAATAATCGATCAATTATTGAATCTATTTAGTACTTAAATGTTTCTTCTATTACTCTGAGTATTTAATTATCACGAAACGTAGCTTCGAGCCACTTATAAAACTTTTGCTTTTCTTGTTTGTTTTATTTTGGTTGTGCACTTTTGTGTTGCTTCTCACGATTTTGTGTTCTCTTCCGTAGCCATCAGGAGAATCTGCCACATCGCCGATGGGGCTCCATGAGACAGTAAGCTATTTTATTATATACACATTTTTATTATATATCGACTGTGAACTGGCAACCAGTATCTCAATTTTGACAATTTTGCAGGATGAAGTAAAGAATTGTTTGCGTTATTAATATGGCATCTGGTTAGAAGTTACAATTAAAAGTTGTATGATCGTCAATATGGCTTTCGCCGAGGACGATCAGCTGGGGATCTTCTCGTGTATGTTACTTACTGCTGGGGCAAAGCCATCAAGAAACACGGCAGGGCTCTAGCGGTGTCACTAGAAATCTCGAAGGCCTTTGACAGGGTTTGGCACGCAAATCTGCTGAGCAAGCTTCCAGCTTACGGCATCCTTACTGGCTTTTGTAGCTGAATATCAGATTTCCTTGATAAACGGTCAATCAGAGTAGTCATTGGAGGCTGCTCATCGGATTTGATGGCTATCAATTCGTTCCTCAGGGGTCGGTTCTCTCTGCGACTCTTTTCCTGCTGCACATCAATGACCTGCTAGTCCCAGGTATTGTTGGGTATGCAGATGACAGCACTGTTACGGAGAGATATCTGTCCAGCGCAAATAACAGCAGGGTAGTTATCGGTTCGTTGAGAAACCCTTAACTTTAGCGCTTATATTGAATGTAAGGCACAAATTGCAGCCAAAAAACTGGGTATCCTTAACAAGGTTAAGCGATATTTCACGCCTGGACAGCTCTTAACTTTATACAAAGCACAAGTCCGATCTTGCATGAAGTACTGCAGTCACCTGCGGGATGGCTCAGCGAAGTATCAACTTGAGGCTCTTGATTCGATTGAGCGCAGAGCCAGAAGACTTATTGGTGACGTTAAGCTCGAATCTAAAGTTCACAGTTTGGCCCACCGGCGCAAAGTTGCCCGTCTGTCGGTTTTTTATAGAATATATTTCGGTGAGTATGCTCATGAGCTCCATCAGCTCATCCCGCCCACCCCCTTTTACCATCGGACATCCAGACGTATGGCGGGATATCAACCTTACTTGGCCGATATTCCCTGCAGGCATACTAAGCGCTTTTCATCATCTTTTATTATGCGCACAGCCCAGGATCGACATTCCCTGCCTGCGTCTGTATTTCCGCATTCATACAACCCGGGTATCTTTAAGGTGCGACTGAATAGGCATCTTCTGGGCAAGGTCGTTCCATCGTAGATCCTATCTTTGCTCCAGAGCTAGGTAATGGTCAAGAGTAAGTTCATATAAATAAAAAAAAGTAAGTCGATTGTGGCACCAAAATTAAATAAATCTGTGATTAAATTTCTTGCAACGCTGCGAAGTATGAAATAGTATAAAATGATATTAAAAAGTAAAATCTTTAGAAAATTTAGATAGTACCGGTTGCCAGTTCACAGTCGATGTATCATATTTTCATTTGCTTTAGATAGTGACAATTTTTAGTTGGCCCATTTTCCGTTTATTGAAATCAGCGCCATCTAGTCTATTTGCGTGGTACTGGAACGAATTAGAATTAACAGATTTGATGGACTTCGGCGCCATCTCGTTTGATATTTCTGTAACAACAACATTTTTATCATGTACTTACTAAACGGCACTCGATAACTTTTGAAATATCGTGACAGCTTCTCATACATTTCAACCCTAACAAAACCACAAAAATTAAATGTAGAGTTTATTTTAAAAGTATTATACATTTCTGTGAATAGCAAATGTACGAACAATATTATTAGCCTCTCATTGTAACCAACACAAACAAAAATAAATAAGAAAACTCCATTGTCAATTGCCAATACCTTAGCAATCAAGCACAAACTACAAAGGTTAAAATGACTGAGCCATTTTAGACTCTATTATAATTAAATAAAGAGTAGTAATATGCATTCAGGTGTATTATTATTTGTGTAAATGATTGCTTGGTGCAAAACAATGCAGCAAGTGGCCAATATTAGATTGTCAATGAGTCATCGCGTCACGTCACGTCAGAATAAATGGCAGGAGTTTTTATATTATTACGTATGCGAGCTATTGTTAGTATTCAACTTGGCAGTTTGTGTTAAAAATATTACGTAGAGTAAAGGTAAAAGATTATCCGCCGTCGTCGCCGAGGATGATTGATAATACATACCCTCAAAAATAAAGTAATTTTTTAGGAAACTCAAAAATAGTTTTAAATAAAAACTTACCGTAGCACCGGCCTGATGCTAAGACAAATTTATTTTTGATATGTTAATTATTAGTTTTATTAAACTGTTAAGTGTTATGGTCATTTCGTAAACACGTTATTATTGTTTGAATTTGTTTTCTTAGTTTTACTTTAGAATTTCGTCGCGATGTGTGTTTGTAATATCTGCCGTCTGCTAACTAAAACGTGGCTAAGTGACAAATGGTCGAATAACCGTTTTAAATAGCAAAAAATAGAACACAAAATTATCTTTTAAAAACAGTTAAAATTAGTTAACGTGTAAGACTTATCGGAACTTACCCTAACGATGCATAGCTGAAATATCATTAAACAATTTCAATATGCTGAATGGAATAGAATAGAAACATTTATTTCATATCATCAATTACATAATATTACAATTCGAAATATAATATCAAGGGTAACATGATCGTCGTTAATGTAAATAATAGTTTTATTGTTAATATAAAATAAAATTATTAAAAGATAAATAAAGAAAAATACGAATTACAAAAACACAAATAAAAATTTAAATATTTTCAAAATACAAACGTCCAAAATTAAAAATATAATTTCTTTAAAAGAAATTCCTCTACACTGTAGAATGAGAGGATGACAAGCTTCATAGTTGCATTTTTGGTCATGGATTCAATGTAATTGCCGAAGTTTAAATTGGACAAGTAGGTGGTGATGATCGGTCATCGGTATGAATATATCACAAAAATCGGAATTAGGTCAAAGTGACTCCGTTTTGTGAAGAATAGACACGCCTGCGTTTTGGTAGCGCAAAATTTGACAAGATTGGCGCCGCTCTAATCGAAGATTGCCTTAAGTGTCAAATTCAAACGACTAAACAAGGACTATCGACAAGACTGGATTTCTTCTCCACTGACCCTTGCATTGATTAAGTATCTATCTACAATTGTGCTGTCATCAACATACGCAAGGAAAACGGACTTCTATTGCAAGGATTTCCATTTTTTTTTTAAGGAATTGGTCGAATTAGTCATGAGATCTTTCTCACGACTAATTCGACCAATTTTTTTTAAGTTTGATATTGATTTCATTTTTTTTAATGCAAAATAATACTTATCGAAAAAAAACAATTCACCATAAAACCTAAAACCTTGGAATAGACTACAAAATAACTGTTTGTGGTATCCTAATGCTAGATTGCCTCATTAACGTCGGTTTTACATTTCAACAGTCCAAATAATGTTTCATAATCCGTGGTTAAGCTAACGTCCGTAACTTGTGGTTAGAACTTTAAAGCTAAACATTGCATTGCTCGAGTTAAAATTAAATAACGATTGTAGATAGTGCCCTTCCTGGACTGATCGACTTTCGCCTATGGAGTGGCGATGGGATGGTAACGAAGTTTAGAGCCTTTTTCCAGGATATGACATTTGTAGTCATGTTCGCGTCGTTATCTGTGTGAAGTAAATAGATAGATAGAAAATTCTTTATTGTTAGCACGACATACAAAGAGAGATTACAGGACAAAAATTAAACACATTAGCAGGGTAACAATTGGCGGTCTTATCGCTTACAGCGATTGCTTCCAGACAACCTTAGGATCGAGAGAGACTAAACAAGAATAAAAGCGGGGATGCTAGATATAAATATTTACACATACTATACATAGAAATTTTAATGAAAATTAAACAACACATTATACTTACAAATATACATGCATATATATAATAATATAATGTTATATATTTATATATATACGATATAATATAATAACATACAACTACATAATATGTATACATCCTACATACACAATACTTACAACACATGTGAAAGAAGGAGAAGCTGCCTAGCAACAGTATATTGCTATTGTGAAAGGTAGAATTTCTTTACTTGGTTTTTAAATAATGTTTAATGACTGCGCTTGTCTAATCGTAACTGGGAGAGACTTCCAGAGACAAACAGCGTGCACAGAGAAAGAAGAATCGTAAAACGAAGTGACTAAGATTTTCTGAAGACCGTAATGAGTGAGTATAGGGCAAGTTACTGAAAACATTTAGCTGTACAATTTATTCGATAAACTTTGTGACAAGCTTGAGTCTTGGGGCTCGTGCAAACCGGCGGACGGTCTAGAAGAGCAACGAAGGTCTAATGCCCGCCAGCGCACACTAAGGCCATGAAGACCCCGGAGACCGCACCACCTTTCCGAATCCTCCTGATAAGGAATATCCATGGTCTGTGGGAATATCCCTCACAATACAGACGTAGCGGACTCTGCGGTACGCATCGTCCGTATGCGTACCGCAGAGTCCGCTACCTCCCGTTTTCCTGTACGCTTAGGGCGCATTTATTGGACACGAATTTCATCGCGCTGACCCCGCGCGGCCGCCGCGCGTAATCTTTGTCCTCGTGTAACTGGGCACCTAAAGTAATAGAAATAGCTTAAAATATACATTGATAAATTTAATATCGTTTGCCGGTTTACGCTGGCTCGTAATTGTGGTATTATAATTTACTTAAGAACTCGACTCTTTTTGTACCATGTTCTAATCAAAATGAAAACGTCTTAGTATTTGAACAAAGACAATTCATTATCTATGAGAAAATCACGCCCTATAGAAATGAATCGCAGGCCATTTCTCACAACATTAAGATTTAAGAATTTCAAAAGAAAAAGAAATTTGAATAATTTTAACAGAACGTAGTGCCGTTTGTAAGTAACCTACCGTTGCAACGAACAACTGCCGGGTGCGGATTCTCCTTAAGAAAGTGAACTGTGTTCCACCCGGGTGGTTCACTGCGTTCCACTTGCCCGAGTATATAACGACTACAAAAACTATTACGACTCTTCAGCCTTTTAGGCTGCAAGAAAAGAC